GGTATTCGACAGTATTTCCCACTTTTTCTTAAACTGGAGCCGCTATCTTTCAAAAGCACGTCAAATATCAATTTTCAGCCTCTAGACGTCAATACCCATATTGATGGGTCAGCATTAGAATTTTTCACTTTTTCTGAAATTGGAAGCCGCCATCTTTGATTTCAAAATGCCGACGGATATCGATTTTTATTCTCTAGACGTCATCTCGATTCCAAAAATACTCATATTGATGGGTATTTGACAGTATTTCCCACTTTTTCTTAAACTGGAAACCGCCATCTTGAATTTCAAAATGGCGTCGCATGTCAACTTTCGATCTCTAGACGTCACCCCGATTCGACAAATACCCATATTGACGAGTGAGCAAACCATCCGACAATGATGAATTCAACACGTGCACAGATCTTTTTCGCATGCACTTAAATGAACCGATTGAACAATCAATAGAAGCAAGGAAAACAGCTCGAATTGGGATCGAATAGCTTCGCTACAATGAGAAAGTAAAGTCCCACGCACATTAGATCCGGTGACAGCTAAATCTTGTGTCTAACTGTCAAATTCACGTCAACGCAACGCAAACGGATCTAATGTGTGTGGCCCTTAAGCCCATTTGACAATGGAAGACGAAATGAACAAGAGTCAAGCCAAAACAAACAGCATGAAAACTGATTGAAAGTGGTTCTGTTGATGTTGAAGGTTATATGCTCGAAGAGAAGACAGAATGACTTTCACAATTGAAAGTGGTGGTTGACAGCTACGTCGTCGCTTGACGATTTTCAATTGAAAGTGACTTTGTTGGGCCCTGATTCTGAGGCATAACATCTCTGATCATGCCTTCCTTCGGAAGGGATGTAAAGCCGTTGGTCCCCGGTTCATGAGTTGATGGGTCGATAGGTAGGGTCCAGGTGTGGGAGCTGCCTTCCTGGCACGTCAAATCAAGGAAAAACAATTATGTCGCAAAAGTGTGAACGCATCTGAACATAGTATCAGACAAAATTATCGAGCAGTCCGTTCGAATCAGACCAACAAATCAGATAGGGTAATTGATTCTGGTTGGACCTATCAAAAAACTGATGATTGTTGGACCTATTTTTTAAATCGCTAGTTTAGTCAATCTTCGCTATTTTTTTTATTTTCAAAGATCACTTTACTATCATAAAAACTCTTTTTCTTCAATTTGCATGGGTGTTTTATTGAAAAAACTTCAAAACAATTGTGTTTCAATATGTTTTCAAAACAGTTCACTTTCCACGCTTTAGCTCGTCATCATGCCTTACTTTCAAACATACAAAAAAGGAATATTTTTTTTTTTTTCATGCAGTAAAATACCTTCTTAAGGTGTAAACAACACGTTAGTACGCCATTTATCCATTGGTTTCACTAAAATGTTTGAATAATTGGCGAAATTCGAATCGATAAATATGATCATGGTTGGACCTACGCATGATGATGGTTGGACCTATGTGTTTCCTAAGACGGCCGCTAGGTGCGCTTCGGTTTGTCTACATCCTTCATGCGCAGCTGATTTGAAATTCGGTTTCGTTTTGGCCGAGTAACCAGTTTCTTCGATTGAAAAAATGGGTAAAGAAAGGGTTATACGGTCGAAAATGTTTAAGAGACAGTTCTTTTAGTAATAAATAAATCACTTACCACGTATCAGGTACAATATTCCGAAAACGACACTTCACGCAAAAATTAAGGGAATCCACGGCAAGAAATATGGAAGGGAAATAGTGTTGAGTGTTGATTTGGAGAACCAGCTAGGGGATTGGGTTTGTATGTGCGCTGCTTCTGGCAGTCTCAAAACGACCAAAAAGATCTCGAAAGCTGCTAAAGACCTTGCGTTACTAGTTGGGCGTAAATTTAAAGGAGGAATTCCATCGTCAGGTTGGCTGAAAGAGTGACCACCGATTTTCGAACTAGGGGAATTTACGTATTCTCGGCAACTTAAGCAGCGACCTTCTTTCTATAGCCCTTTTCTCTAAGGAACGCACACATATGCAGTATTGGTTTGTTTACAATCTTTTGCTGCCAGCTGCTCTAACAATTTCAGTCGAAAGAATTGTCAAAAACTGTTTTGAAACGCTTTTACAAAGCTCCAATCTTCTCTAGTGAGAGCGAGTATTGTCGGCAACCAGTTTTTCTTCGGCAACCGTTCCATTTGAACTGCATGTAAATCTGCTGTTCTATTATCGGCAGCTCGAAATCAGCTGCAATTTGTAGTGCGTGTGTTTCATTTCAAGAAAACCTTGCTAGATTGCTTTTTCTCAGTGGTAAAAGTATAGTCAAATTGAAGCTGAAAGCATAAAGAATCGTCTGCATGCATTCAGCGAAGTGTTTTCGTAAGAAAATCCAGTGAAATCAATTGTGTTTCAATTTGGGTTGCCGAAAATAGTCTGGCATGCCGAAGCCGTCATTTCCCCTACCACGAAAGCGCCGAAAGAATATGTTAATATGAATTTACATTAAGCACTTCTCATACACCTTCTGTGTGTGAATTAACTTGAAATAAAATTTTAACCAACTAAAAATTGCTAGCTGAAACTTATTTCCGAAAAAAAAACTTCTAGGAGAAAAAAAACTATAAAACCGGAATTAAGTTCTGATATTCTGTCATTTTAAGCCCCTAAATTCCCCGGAAGTGGTCAATGTGGTCCAAGGCACTCAATTTTGGTATTGATCTTGTTATCGAATTTGGAAGTAATGTGAAGTGCCGCATGATAGGTTTTATTCCTTCCATGTCAAAATTAGGTTCATGTTCCATATACCCTGGAACTTGTTCCGGCCATATCTCCGGAACCAGTTGACCGAATCCAAAAATATTCGATAGCTTTCAATGGGACCACAATACCTATAGTTTGACATTAAAAAAAAATCCAAATCGGTTCAATGATTTCCGAGAAAATGAGCCATGATGAATAGCTAATGCGTGGAAAGTGAACTTTTTTTAAAAACGAAGTTAAACTCAAATTTCTTGATTTTTTTTAAATAGCAAATTCATAAAAACTGTATAAAAAGGGGTTTTTCATGATACCAATAAGCTCTAAACAAAGTTTTTGAACAAATATGGGCTAAACTAGCATTTGCAAAAATAGGTCCAACCATCATCATTTTTAGGTCCAACCAAGATCAGTATAGGTCCAACCAACATCATAATTCTTTGCTGAATAAAAACGTTTTATAAAATCATTTGTTCATAATATTTAACTTTTAATGTTATTATTAGAAACAAGAAAGGTAGATCTTTCCACTAATCACGCATTTTTCATAATTATATGTTGAATTCAAAAAAAAAAAATAAAACATGAATGTTGACGTCGTGTGAAACCGGCCTAAATAGGTCCAAACATCATCAGTTACCCTAGTCTAAACGTACCTTTAGAGTAATGTAACTTTGAATTTGATTGACTGTGATATTTTGCCATTAATTGAACCTGCTCGTGTGATGATCAAACTAAGAATCATTTTATTCGGGTTTTGCTAAGTTCTACTGACATAGCTTAGCTTGGAGACACTTGAAAGCACTTATGTAATATTATGTATAGGATCACCAATCAGCGATCGATACTGGAAATGAGAGAGGACAGGGAGAGAGAATTCTGGAGAAGGCTAATTGCACCAAACCAAATGCGCTTGACAAAGACACTCTGTTTGCGCGTCGTTGGGTGAAATATGACCCTAACACATTAATTGTCGTGTCAGGCTTTAAGTCATCGAACTGCTTTATGGACTCATTTGCATTCGTTGCATATCGCAGTTCGATGGTGTTGGAAATCTACAGGGTGCCGATGAGTGTGGTCCTTGAGAATTTGAGATTTGTTAACATGTGCGATGCACATGTCACAGTAACCTTTCCTGTTTTGGGGACCGTGTTTACCTCTGCGGTCGCAACAAGGTCGCAGGAAAGGAGATTTTTGCATTAATTTAGATCAGGACCAAACATTTAGAAAAAAATTACTAATTTAATTTACATTAGGTGCTTTGAGACTGAAATATACGAGCGTCAATTTTGACACAAAATTGAGTTATAATAGATGCTAAATTCAGCTCCATCAAATGTACTTTTCGTCGAGTAACGAACTTTTCAGTCTCGTGGCACTTAATATTACATGACATGTTTTTTTGTTACGTTTCATCCTTTTTGTCAAAAATGGATTCCGCCACGTGTAAGATTAGGTATTTCTAAGTATGTATGTTTGGCTTTGTTGTTTTAACAGTTAAATCGACCGAAATGAGAGCAACCTGAGAACATAACAACATCAAACTAAGCATTCGATTTGGTCACAGGCTCTGCTCGGGTTCTCTCGTCGGATCAGAGCGTCATTTACTGTTTCATCGATTGAAAAAAATACTAGCCAATTAACGGACTCAAGTAGGAGAACAGTTCACATCCATTTGTCAAGAGTCACTTTGTCAATCTTCGTTAAGCTGAAAGTCACACCAGATGTTGCTGCAGAATACAGTTGATAGGATCAATTTATGTGTAGTGTTTCAAACTGCATCAATTAATCCAATTGTCATCTTCCATTGGTGCAACATGTCACGTATTGCTTTCATTCACTCTCGGAGAATGCGTCAATCTAATTACCGCACAACCGTCCATCCCAGGATCCACTTTCCCTAATGGATTTTACATTTTCCTCCCGATGAAAATCCCAACCGAACAAAACAAACATCCATCAGCAGGGCAACGAAACTTGCGCTACAGGGCACCGAAAATCGAATCGCGCCACACACACGGTAAGCAAATTAATACACCCAAATAGTGGTGGATCACTCTTTTGGGGCTTTTTCGTTAATTTTTTATTATAGAATGCTAACGTAAAATCCAGTTGAATTTTCCTAGGGGGATCAATAGCCCTAACCTATCTTGTTTTTAAGGTGGGTTCACTGAAAATTCAATTGGATTTAACGTAAGCATTCTACATTAAAAAGTAATGAAAAAGGCCCCAAAGAGCGATCCATCCCTGCACCCAGACAAAGCTCCACCCCCAACTCACCGGTCGACGGAAATGCAGCACAGATGCAGGATGCTGGCCGTAGAAAAGTACACATCCAGGCTGTTCCAAACGTCGCACATAAACGGTCCAAACAGCCACCTGTCGTCGTTCCGGGATGTCGTTGTTTTCGTTGACGAGGATGAAAATATATTGAAAAAAAGACACACACACACAGAAAAGAGTAAAAATCAACATGAGAGTGAGCTGTACTTGGGAAAAAAATCGGGAAGGGTGCAAATTCAATTTGGGCCACGTCAATATCGTTTATTGATTTCGATTCCCGGAGTTTTTCCCGGAGGGGGAGTTCAAGGATGGAAAGAAGCTCTTGTTTTGAATAGAATAGCATCCATAAAGGACACAGTAGATGAGTACAATTTAGCATACCTATAGCATGAGAGGGTGATGAAAGGACGGGTAGGAGGATTTTTTGATTTTCGGTGGATCGGTATTGAATGAAACGAAGGCAAACTAATTGGGATGTCAAGTAGCAGCAAGATTGGTGATATTGACGGGAAGGTTTGGGGTGGTGGAAGCAATCAGGATTTAATGAGATCCCGATGCGATGGATTTTGTCTTACCTTCCTGATAGTTCGACGGATGCATTGAATGTCATGGCACAGAGGGCCACCATGATGTCTGCCATTGCTAACGATACAACAAAGTAATTGGTTATTACTCTGAAATGGAAAAAGAGAAGAGGTAATTAGCGATATTTGAAACATGCATTGAGAAATGGAGAGCAGAATTTGAGCACGGTCCAAGGGCGCAGTCAGGTTCCTAAAAGGGGGCGGGGGCAACATAATTTTGAAGACGGACTATCAGGCCAGATACCGACGGGATGAATACCGTTAGGCCGAAGGGACAAATGAGTGACTGAATAAGTATTTTTCAAATTTGCTCGGTGACCAGCATACCCAAGTAACATTGCAGGTTTAATCGAGGTTTTATAGCATTCTACTAGACTAAATCATGGTCTACAGAACCCTCATAAAACCAAAATTGTTACTTGGGTATTTCTATTTGCTTGTGGATATTTTCCCGGATGAGTGATAAACATCTAAATTAAGCACAAAACGAAATGCAAATGAGCCGAAAGGATCAATAAGTTAAATCAGACATTATAAAGACAGCACAATTTTGACGTTTAAACTACCTTGGGAATGTGCTCATGATTTTTTTTAAACACTGCCCTTCCCTTCTCATCAGAATTCCTCTAAACTAAATTTGAAAATCTCTTCAGAATTCCATTGGAATTTTTTTTCAAAACTGCCTAGAAAGTTTATGCTGAACCACCGTATTTCAAAATGTCCTTGCCGGTTTTTGCTTTTTTTAAAGAAACTTACGTAAAATGCAAAGCGTTGGAATGTTTAAAACCATGGACACTTGAAAACTAACAGAAATCGTAGGATAAGAACATTTGATTGAATTTTTGAACTTTTTGAAGGTACGACATTGTTTTCTAAGCATAAATTACATGTTGAAACGTTCAATAATTTTACCGAAAGGTCTTGTTGAACGATTTTAAGTCCATTTTTAAGTGTTCATAATTTTAAAAATTCCAAAGGATTAATTTTCATGATTTTTTTTAATAATACAAATCAAACAAAAACATTTTGAGAAATTTTGGTTTTTAACATTTTTCATTTTAATTTTACTTGAAATTTCTATCAACTTTGTAAAGACCGGTAATCGGGCCAAACAGAACGACAACGGCCAACGTAGCGTCAACTTTGCAGCCTCTCGGGGTATGGTAGTTAGGAGTACCTTTTTTCCCCCGCAAGGATATCCACAAAGCTACCTGGATATCACCTGACCAACACACAGAAAACCAAATCGATCACGTTTTAAGCGATAGCAGGAAGACCGAGATCGCAAGGCGATGGAAAATCTGTACAGCGTAAACGACACACGGAAGTGCCGCAAGCCGATATGTGCTAGGACTTGGACGGTAACCATCTCACGAACGAGTGTGAGGTGATTGAGAGGTGGAAACAGTACTATGACGAGCACCTCAACGGTGATGCAGCAGAAAACGAAGGTGGCACGACAACAGACCTTGGAGCACGCGCAGAAGACGACAGGCTACCGGCCCCTGATCTTCAAGAACTTGAGGAGGAGATCGGTAGGCTGAACAACAACAAAGCAACTGGTGTAGATCAACTACCAAGTGAGCTATTAAAATACGGTGGTGAAGCACTGGCAAGAGCGATGCACTGGGTAATTGCCGAGATTTGGGAGGAGTAGATATTACCGGAGGAGTGCATGCAAGGTGTCGTATGTGTAATCTACAAAAAGGGCGACAAGTTAGACTACTGCAACTACCGCTGAGCACCGCCTACAAGGTACTCTCCCAAATTCTATGCTTCCGCCATTTGCAAGAGAGTTCGTGGGGAAATACCAGGCGGGATTCATGGGTGCCTGCGCTACCACTTACCAAATTTTCGCGATTCGGTTGTTTCTGCAGAAATGCCGCGAATACAACGTGCCCACACATAATTTGTTAATCGATTTCAAATCTGCATACGACACAATCGATCGAGGTCAGCTATGGCAGATTATTCACGAGTACGGATTTCCGGATGAACTGACGCGATTAGTCAAGGCGCCGATGGATCGAGTGAAGTGCGTTGTTAGAGTATCGGAGACACTCTCGAGTCCCTTTGAATCTCGATGGGGGTTACGGCAAGGTGATGGACTTTCGTGTCTGCTATTGAACATCGCGTTAGAAGGTGTGATCAGAAGAGCTGGGATAGACACGAGTGGCACGATCTTCAGGAAGTCCATCTAGCTTCTTGGCTTCGCCGATGACATCGACATCATGGCACGGAACTTTGAGACGTTGGCGGAAACATACATCAGACTGAAGGCTGAAGCTAGGCGGATTGGACGTGCCATCAACGCATCGCAGACAAAATACATGAAAGGAAGAGGTTCTAGGGAAGACAATGTAAGCCTCCCACCCCGAGCTCAGATTTACGGTGACGAAATCGAGGTGGTCGATGAGTTCGTGTATTTGGGCTCACTGGTGACCGCCGAAAATGATACCAGCAGAGAAATTAAAAGACGCATTATGGCAGGGAATCGTACCTACTTTGGACTCCGGAGGACGCTCTGGTCGAATAAAATTCGCCGCCGCACGAAGTTGACTATTTACAAGACGCTGATTAGACCGGTGGGCCTCTACGGCCACGAGACCTTGACTATGCTCGTGGAGGACCAACGTGCCCTTGGTGTTTTCTAACGGAAGGTGTTACGTACCATCTACGATGGAGTGCAGATGGAACGTGGAGGAGACGAATGAACCACGAATTGCCTCAGCTGCTGGGAGAACCAGCCATCGTCCACATTGCAAAAATTGGGTGACCACGGTGGGCTGGGCACATCGTAAGAATGTCGCACGGCGACACAGTGAAAATGGTTCTCGAAAGCGTCCCACAGGAACAAGAAGAAGAGGCACGCAGCGGGAAAGGTGGATCGATCAAGTAAAAGGCGACCTGCGGACCCTTCGCTGACTACGAGGCTGGCGACGTGTGACCGTGGATCGAGTAGAGTGGAGACGAATTCTTCGGACAGCAGAAGACAACAAGGCCTTTGTCTGATTGGTAAGGTTAGTAATTTTGACGTATAGATGACGATAATAGATATCTGACGCCATTTTGGAATCCAAGATGATTGCCAACAGGCATTGGCGTAACTACAGGCATGGATTCATGTAGCCCCCTCTAGAATTAACCACTTCATTCAATCAGTTTAAATGACGTTTACTACCACTCAAACTTTGAAATAAAACATTATTTTAAGATTTTTTCTTCTAGAACCACGGAAAAGGAACCAAAATTTGTGCGTATCATAAAAAAATAGAAATTAGTTGGTCCAGTTTTGAGAAATCGCTGGTAGAAAGTCACGCCAAAACTGCGTGACAAAGTGGTCAATTTTTAATTAAATTAATTATTTTCCTTACTAATCAAACTTGTTCGCTGATTGCCTAATTGAAAATTTAAAAAATAAATGTAGCTCTCCTTAGGATTTTGCCTTAGTAACACCAGTGCCGGGAAAACGTGAACGACGTGTAGATACCGAAAATTGACGTCTGACGCCATTGTGGAATCCAATATGGTGGCCGTTGGTTTCAGAAGAACTGTCAAATACCCTACGCTACAATATAGGTATTTTTGGAACAGGGACGTCGAGTTCCATAATTTCGTTCCGAAAATACAGAATCCGTTCGATTTTGGAACGGTTTGATTATGGCAACAAAACCACAAAAACGTTCGTTTTTGACACATATTCGGTCCTTGTGACTCAAGTTCTTAATTTTAAGCTTAATGATAAATAAAGGCTGTGTCATAAAGATGCCTCCTCTCTGTTTCACGGTGGTTCAAAATCATCGAATTCGTAAACGAAATTTCAAAATAAAACAATTCAAGTTTGGCACGGATCGATTTGGCAAAAGTATGGTATCGGACATCGAGTCCCGTTTTCATGTTAAAATGTATTAGCAAATGTCAAAAATGCCATTTAAAATAAAGATAAAAAAGGGCAGAATTTTTGCAAAAATGTAAATGATTGCCCATAGCAAACAATTATACATAATGTTATGCAAATCGGAGAAGGTCGATCCAATATATTTTTTTTTTGCTATTTGACCTAAAAATTACAGTTGGGCACACCTGGGTACTTTCATTGCCCCCATGGTTAGGAATGTTCATGATCTTTAAATTTACTGGCAACACTGTTCTATTTCTGCGCCTGCGCACATTCGGGTGTTCAATAAAAAATTAGAATGATTTTAGTGCCGTCCAGCGCTTTTGTGAAGAGCATCGCGACTAAGTTGCGTCGTACGGCTGACCAATATTCATTGATGTTTTTTGAAGAATAAACATTATGTTTTTAATAAACAATACTGAATTCGTTGAAAAAAAAAAAAAATATTTTTACTAGCTATATGACTGAAAAAAATCTCATTTTTTATTGAACACCCATTAATCAAAACCCTGCAGTGAGATTCAGTTCTTGACGCTGCCAAAATCATCAGCAGCGCTGCTACTGCAGTTAAAAATTAATTTAGGAACTTTCGAATTGACGAGCACAATTTGCGTGAATCATGCTTAACTATAATGTTATCTCAGTGTTCACTCGGCTGTCGACAAAAGCAGACCACTCTCGATGTGTGCCACGCGATCGTCTGTTTTCTCGGCAGCAACCATTGTGTGGTCCTTCTCATTGTTCTTCATCAGCAGTTCTTTCGGTCGATGCGTCGTCGACTTTGGAAAGCCACCGTTTCGTGATGAGTGTGTGAGTGCTGACCACGTTTTGCGTCCATTGCTGCAATGGACGCGCTCTGACCCTCGTTGGCGTACAACAATTTGCCATACAATGAAACCACTGGAAGCGGCGCCAGTTCTGATGGAGGAGGCTTTTTGGATAGCGGAAAATAAAGTGTTTATTGTGTTGTACCTTTTGACTATATTTTTAAGATGTATTGTATAGTGACCAAGAATCCTCGGCTCTGTAAAGTTAATTCGGTTGAGCCTTATCAAATAATATAATAAACAAAAAAAAAATATAATGTTATCTAGAAAAAAAAATCTATTTTCCAGCCTTGCACCAGTCTTAATCTTAGATGATAAGTAGGAGCTGTCAAATTAGCACCAGAGCACCAGAGAAATTTGGCTTC